TGGGCATCTTGAAGGTCATCTTGGCCGTCTGGAGGCCATTTTGACCCTTTCGGCCCAGGCCTCTTGGGCCGTCTTGGGGGCCTCTTGGGGCCGTCTTGGACGATCTGTGGGGGCACTTGGGCCGTCTCGGGCCGTCGGAAGGCCGAACAAAAAACAAATGTCAGAATCCTTCAAACACTTAGGGGAATCAGTGGTTTTGACCTTTTCGGGCCTTCCTGGAGGCCCTCTTGGAGGCCTCTTGGGCCATCTTCGGGCCATGTTCGGACGTCTTGGTGGGCTCCTGGTCCGACTGACGCCGTCGGAAGCCGTTTAGAAGGCCTCTCTGGGCCGACTTGGGGCCCTCTTGGAATGCTCCAGGGCCGCCTTGGAGGCCATCTTGGGCGTCTGAAAAGCCTCCTGGGCCGTCTTGGGGGCCTCTTGGGGCCGTCTTGGGGGCCTCTTGGGCCGTTCTGGGGCCATCTTGGAGGCCTCTTGGGCGATCTTTGGGCAATCTTTGGGGGCTCTTGGGCCGTCTCGGGCCGTCGGAAGGCCGAGAAGAAGCAAATGTCAAAATCCTTCAAAAACCTAAGGCAAATCAATGTTTTTGGCCTCTTCTGGCCTTCCTGGAAGCCCTCTTGGAGCTTGGGCCGTCTTGGGCCAGCTTCGAGCCAACTTCGGCCACCTTGGTGGGTTCCTGGCACGTCTGACGCCGTCGGGAGCCGTCTTGGGGGCCTTTCTGGGCCGACTTGGGGCCCTCTTGGGGCGCTTCGGGGCCGTCTTGGAGGCTATCTTGAGCGTCTTGGAGGCCATCTTGGGCGTGTTGGGGGCCTCTTGGGCCGTCTTGGGGCCCTCTTGGGGCCGTCTTGGAGGCCTCTTGGGGCCCTCTTGGGGCCTCTCGGGCGATCTTGGGGGCCTCTTGGGCCGTCTTGAGCCGTCGGAATGCAAAGAAGAAGCAAATTCCCAAAGCCTTCAAAATCTTCAATAGAATTAATGATTTTGGCCTCTTCGGGCCCTCCTGGAGGACCTCTTGGAGGCCTCTTTTGGGCCGTCTTGGAAGCGTCTGGGAGGCCTCTTGGGCGAACTTAGGGTTATCTTGGACTCTCTGAGGCCGTCTTGGAGGCCGTCTTGGACCATCTCCGGCGGACTCGGAGGCCATCTGGGACCATCTTGGAGGCCATCTTGGGCCAACGTGGCCATCTTGGAGGCCATCTTGAGCTGTCTCGGAAGATTATTCCGGGAATTGAGCTCTTGGAAGATCGTCCCGGGACCCTGGCGGGACGAGCCGAAGCCCCAGGGGGAGTTCCCTTGGAACAAAAAAAACAAAACCAAAACCGAAAGGATCTAGCACGCCAGGCACCCCTGCGATGAATCGACAGGGGGCGGAGGATTGTGCAGGGCATGTGGTTAATCATTTCGAAGGCAAGCTCCTTGCCTTTCACTCCTTCCCTGGGGGGTTCCCAGGGGGGTCGCTGGCCCCCCCCTGTGGGGGTGGATCTTGGGGGGGGGGTCCCCAGTGTGGACGAGGAGGAACGGGGGGCGGCCCCCCTGTGGACAGGGGGACCTCAGGGCTCCTCTTTCCCCCTGTGGACAAGGGAACCACCACCCTGCCCTCCTCCCGCCGGCCTCCCGCGAAGGCACCCTCCTCACTCTTATCTGCTGTTGTGCCGTGCTGCGTGTTCTTCCACATGCCTCCAAGAAGCCTTACATCCGCTTCGAGGCGGCTCCAAGTGACCACGGAGCTCCCCAAGAAGTCCCCCAAGAGGCCCCCAACAGAACCCAAGAGGCTCCCAAGAGAGCCCCAAGAAGAGCTCCAGAGCGTCAGCGTTGTCGTCGTCGCCGCCGCCGCCGTCGTCCCCCTTCAGGGTCGGCGGCCCCGGCCTCAAGGCCTTCCCAGTAACCCCCCCCCCAACGCACAAGAAAGCAACCTCTGCCTGGGGCGTAGCTGGGGCCGATGTATGGGCCGCCAGCACACAATAATACCTGTACGACCACCCTTCGGGTGATAAGGAGGTTCGGGGGGGAGGAGCCAACGTCTCACTCGATCGGTCTCACTATCGATCTCACTATCGGTCTCGCTCGATTGATCTCACAATCGATCTCACTCGATCTACTTCATTCGATCGATCTCACAAGCGATCTGATTGTCGATCTCACAATCGATCTCACCATCGACCCTACTATCGATCTCACAATCGATCTCACTCGATCTATTTCATTCGATCGATCTCACAAGCGATCTGATTATCGATCTCACAATCGATCTCACTATCGATCTCACAACCGATCTCACATTCGGTCTCACTATCGATCTCACGATCGATATCACAATCCATCTCACAATCAACGTCATCATCATCAACATCATCGTCATCAACGTCATCAACATCATCATCATCGGGACACCATCATCATCATCAACATCATCATCATCATCAACATCATCATCATCACCATCATCATCGGGACACCTTCATCGTCACCATCCTCATGATCAACATCATCATCGGGACACCATCATCATCATCATCATCATAATCATCATCATCATGATCGGAACACCATCATCATCATCTCATCACCATCATGAACAACATCATCCACATCATCATCATCGGGACACCATCAGCAGCATCAGCAACATCATCATTATCAACATCATCATCATCGGGACACCATCATCATCGGGACACCATCATCATCACCATCATCATCATCATCGGGACACCAACATCATCATCAACATCAGCATCATCACCATCATCGGGCCACCATCATCAAAACCAGCATCACCTCATTATCATCCTCATCATCAACACCATCATCATCGGGACACCATCATCGTCGTCATCATCACCAACCTCGTCATCATCGGGACACCATCAGCCGTCAGCAGCGCCATCATCATCAACAGCATCATCAACCTCATCCTCATCCTCATCCTCATCCTCATCCTCATCCTCATCCTCATCCCCGTCCTCGTCCTCATCCTCATCCTCATCCTCATCCTCATCCTCATCCTCATCCTCATCCTCATCCTCATCCTCATCCTCATCCCATCCTCATCCTCATCCTCATCCTCATCCTCATCCTCATCCTCATCCTCATCCTCATCCTCATCCTCATCCTCATCCTCATCATCCTCATCCTCATCCTCATCCTCATCCTCATCCTCATCCTCATCCCTCATCCTCATCATCCTCATCCTCATCCTCATCCTCATCCTCATCCTCATCCTCATCATCCTCATCCTCATCCTCATCCTCATCATCCTCATCCTCATCATCATCCTCATCCTCATCATCATCATCATCATCATCATCATCATCATCATCATCATCATCATCATCATCATCATCATCATCATCATCATCATCATCATCATCATCATCATCATCATCGGGACACCGACGGGACACTGGCGGGACACCGCGGGCCACCGGCGGCCCCCGGAAAGGAATCATTTGGTCCGGGCGCGCCTCAGCCGGAGGCGGGACACCGGCGGGACACCGCGGGCCTCCGGCCCCCAGAGAGGAATCATTTGGTCTGGCCGCGCCTCAGCCGGAGGAGACTTTTTTCTCGCCCTCCCACGCAGCTTCGCCTCGCCCGCATGCACGGCACGCACGAACACAAAACCGAAACCGATTTCCTGGTAGGGGGGCTCTCCGTTCCACTTCGATCTCACCCCCTCACCTCCGACTGCCATACTGCCAAGAAGGTGCCTCCTCCTCCGCCCTTCCCCCTTCCCCCTCCTTTTCTTCCTCCTCTCTCTCACTCTCCTTACTTACAACGTCTGGCACTCCCTGCGCCGGACAGAAGGCGGCGGGACTTCTGCCCGGCTGTGCACGCCTCCCTTTCGCGAGGGTGCCTAAACTCCCTCTGGCCTGCGAGCCGCATCCCCTGACCCAGACCGAAGGGAGAACAAACCTGCGATTGTCGCAACCGGCCGCCTTCGCGTTGCCAGGGCGGCGGGCGCGTGTCAGGCCTGGAGGCTGGAAAGAAACGCCAGGCAAACCGGATGCAACCCACAAGCCGACCTGCAATAGGCAAACTCATGAGGTGAACCGTGGCCTGGGAGAAAGCGAGCGTGTGAAAGGTAACGAACTACCCCCCACCGAATGCGTCTCCGATTCTGCTTGTTGCCTGGTGTCTCGCGAAGCCTGGCACTGATCGGCAACTAACCAGACTGAGGCTGGTAGGCGCGCCGTGGTGGTGACCGCGAAGAGGCCAGGGAGAGTGCAGGCATGCTGCACAGCCGTCCGTGCGCCCGCACTCCCTGCCCCCCTCTGCGAGGCGCCCCGCACGCAGCCGTGTGGGCCCCACCCGGGAGGCTCCATTGTGGGCCCCACCCATGTCTGGCCCCGCACGCACGCTTTGTGGGTCCCGCACGCAGCCATTGTGGGCCCCACGCGGCCATTGTGGACCCCACGCGGCCATTGTAGGCCCCGCACGCAGCCAGTGTGGGCCCCACCCATTTCTGGTTGCTCCCGGGCCCTAGCTGGCCAGTAGAAGGCTGGGAGCAGAATACCTGGGAGTCGGGCCTGCCCGAACCCAGCCCCCGAAGGGAGAGGCAGAGGGACGGCCGACCTCCAGGGGACCAAAGGAGTGTGCCTACCCGCCCACTCCCCTGCACCGCTCCCTCCAACCCTCCCCCTTCTCATCCTGAGGGCTGCAGAAATACTCGATGAGTGGTACGTCCCAACACGTCCACGGACTCTGCGGTCGCATGCCGCACACCACGAGATACGCATCCTGGCCTGCATGATCGGTTAGAACCGTTGCCACGCGCCGGTATCGAGCACTCACGATTGTGCAAATCACTTTGCTAGTAAGGGTTGGGAGGCCGCGGGCCCTGAAACCGTGTACGTCTGTATCCGCTTGCATCGCGATGCGCAACGACAGCAGACGTTGCTGAAACACCACTGTACGAAGCCATGCCGACACGCCTGACAAGGTGTGGCCATCAGGCCGCAGCCACCAGCATCTCGCCCAAGCGGCTGCAAAAGTGTGGGCGCGCTCCCAGCCTCGTTGCGCCGCTGGAGGAGCTTCGCCTCGACCTGTGCGGCGCGCACGCGCGCCGCAAAACTGCGCTGCTTTCCCTGCTGAGGGGACTACCGGCGAAGGCAGCCAGGAACACGAGCTGATTGTAATCCCGTCCAGGTGCCCGAGTGTGTGGCTTGAGGACAGGAGCATACAACTGGCCCCGCCCACCCTGGAGTCACTTGGGCCACTATGGGAACGACGTTACGGTGTGTGGGGGGGGACAAGACAGAGAGAGAGAGAGAGAGAGACACAAAAAAAAGACGGCGACAGAGAGAGAGAGAGAGAGAGACACGCTGGAGGCAGCCTGCACAGTGCGCTCCTGGGCCCACGAGACGACCTCGGCAAACTCGGAAGATTCTGCGAGACAAGCTGACCCGATTCCAGTCAGCTGCTCCATCTCTCACTCCGCGGGTGGCTCGGTTCGTGCCATGGGTGGGGACACTCTCACCACACACCGACCCAGACCAACCCAGTCTGGCACTGCTCCCTCCCCTTCCTGCCTCAAGAAACTGCAACGGCGGCAGGCAATGCGCAGCCCGCAACCTCATTGATGAACAGCATGGCCTCTCCGAGCGGGATCTTCATCGTGCAATTTGGATCGTGCTTCTTCCAGATGTCTACGCACACGTCGAGGTTATCATCCTCGTGCGTCTGGCGCCCCTCCTCGTAACCTCTGAGGGATGCATCAAACTACTGATCGGGGCGAGCACGCATGCCGACGTGGCAGACAAGAGACCACGCAATACGTCCCGCTCCACTCGACGCTGCCGTGCCCCGCGGGCCTTTATAGGGAACCCACAAAAGACATACGCGCCCAACTATGTACATAAAACGCGGCCCCTCGATCCGTGAGACTGGCCGCGTGGTACCAACATTCGGGCAGTAAGCACTCTCGAAAACAGGGTGGATTCATGTACGTGTGCGTCCTTCTTTCGCTCCTGATTTTACTCGTCCTGCTCCCTCCGCGTCCCTGTAGAGGTGGAGGCCGAGAGAGGTATAGGTCGAGGTCGAGGTATGTGTGCCACTGCCTTAAAAACCAGCGATCGTCCAATTCGAGTGCAAGTACATGCTTCAGAAACGCCCTCCCGCGCCCCCCCAATCCCAAAGCCCTCTCGGCAGAAGTGGCAACTGGATCAGCTCTGCCGAGGGGTCTGGACCCGCTTTGGCCCAGTATGTCTCGAATCTGACCCCAGATAGCCCACAGTGGTTTCAAGTATTGTCCAAACTTTGCCAGATGGCTTTTAGTTAACTTCGCTCGAAGAGGCCTCAAACTGACCCGCAGCCGAGCTCCTTCAATGTATTCACAATAAGCGAGGCGTCGTTAAGAACACATTGAACCTGTTATCTGGATCTTCGCATTCTAGCCTTTTCAGCTCCTTCCTCGAGGGCGATTTTGAGGCCTCAAGATGGTCTCAAGATGTGCCAATCGGTCTCTGGAAACATAAAAGAAGCCCTAAGAGGGCCCGGAATCTCCCAGAAGTGCATCAGGATAACCCTCCAATGCTCCCAAACAGACCCCTCCCAAGGGTCCCAAGAGAGCTCCAAGTTGGCTCTCGTAGGCTCTCATATGGCCCTAGCCTGGCCGTTTTTGGTAGGCTGTTTGGGCTGGCCAAGCTTTTGGTTTGACTGATGCCCCCCGCTGGACTGCCCTTCCACGTCTATTCTCGCGACAACTCGCCTAGAATCAAATTCTAGATGGCATGGCGGGGATACGAGACGCTTCAATACTTTCACTGTTGAAACCAGCGCGCGAGATATGGCGAACAGAAGCGGGCAACTTACTCTGAACGACCTGCGCTTCCCCAGGTCGCATGACCCAGCTTGAAATCGGGGTCTGATCGGATTCGAGCAAGCCGATCGCGATCAAGCTTCAGCTGTGGGGGCGATGGGAGGGGGCCTGGGCTCCGTCGAGAGACAAAGACAACGCCAGCACGTTGAAATCGATTCGACTGACAATCTCCATACCTATTCCCCCCTGCTTGCCACCACTCGGACGTCCATTCCCCGTGCATTTGTCGGCTTCGTGCGATCATTTTTCGCAACATGATCCAGGATGCTCGACTCGGTGGTTCTGGCCGAGAAATTATCCCGGCAAAGCAACCTAACAGCGATGTGTAGAAGCATATCTGAAAGCATTCCCCTTAAGATTCAGATGAAAATCCACTTGTCGAATTCTGCTGTTCTCGCAGTCGTAGTCGCATTCGCGATGACAGTCGCAGCGGCAACGGCAGTCGCAGTCACAGCCTCAGCCTCAGCCTGCCTCCTCCTCCCTCCTCCTCCTCCTTCCTCGTCCTCCTCCTCCTCTTCCTCCTCCTCCTCCTCCTCCTCCTCCTCCTCCTCCTGGTAGTCCTCCCCCTCCCCTCCTCCTCCTCCTCCTCCTCTTCCTGGTTCTTCCTGGTCGCCCTCGTTCTCGTCCTCCTCGTCTTGCTCGTCCTCCTCCTCGTGGTGTTCTCTCCTCCTCCTCCTCCTCCTCCTCCTCCTCCTCCTCCTCCTCCTCCTCCTCCTGGTGGTCCTCGTTCTCCTCCTCCTGGTGCTCTCCCCCCCCCTCCTCCTCCTCGTCCTCCTCCTCCTCCTCCTCCTCGTCCTCCTCCTCCTCCTCCTCCTCCTCCTCCCTTCCTCCTCGTCCCTCATCTTCCTCCTCCCCTACTCCTCTTCATCCTCCTCCCCTCTCCTCCTCTCCCTCCTCCTCCTCCTCCTCTCCTTCCTCCTCCTCCTCCTCGTGGTGTTCTCCTCCTCCCCCTCCTCCTCCTCCTCCTCCCCTCCTCCTCCTCCTCCTCCTCCTCCCGTCCGCATCCTCCTCCTCTACTCTCTTCATCCTCCCTCCCCCTCCCTCCTCTCCCTCCGCTCCGCCTCCGCCTCCTCCTCGGCCTGCACTCCAAGCCAATGATTTCTCGTAAATCTCCGCTCTCTTAAGGCCACGACCCCGTCCTCCTCCTCCTCCTCCTCCTCCTCCTCCTCCTCCTCCTGGTGGTCCTCGTTCTCCCTCCCTTCTGGTTGCTCTCCCCCCGCCCCTTCCTCCTCCTCGTCCTCCTTCCCTCCCTCCTCCTCCTCGTCCTCCTCCTCCTCTTCCTCCCCTCCTCCTCCTCCTCCTCCTCGTCCTGCCTACCTCCTGGTAGTTCCCTCCCCCTCCCTCCTCCTCCTCCCTCCTCCTCCTCCTCCTCTCCCTCCTCCTCGTCCTCGTCCTCCTCCTCCTCGCTCCTCTTCCTCCTCCTCCTCCTCCTCCTCCTCCTCCTCCTCCTCCTCCTCCTCCTGGTACTCCTCCCCCTCCCCTCCTCCTCCTCCTCCTCCTCCTCCTCCTCCTCTTCCTGGTCGTCCTCCTCCTCCTGGTCGTCCTCCTCCTCCTGCTCGTCCTCCTCCTTCTCCTGCTCGTCCTTCTTCTCCTGCTCCTCCTGCTTCTCGTCCTGCTCCTGCTCGTCCTCGTCCTCCTGGTCTTGCTCGTCCTCCTCCTCGTCGTGCTCTTGCCCCTGCTGAAAATGTAGCCCAGGAATGGGAGTTTTGGGAAGTCGAAAAGCACGAAGTTGCCTACAGTTGGCTACGGGCATTCAAAAATGCCTCCTCCTCCTCCTCCTCCTCCTCCTCCTCCTCCTGGTGGTCCTCGTTCTCCTCCTCCTGGTGCTCTCCCCCCCCCTCCTCCTCCTCGTCCTCCTCCTCCTCCTCCTCCTCCTCGTCCTCCTCCTCCTCTTCCTCCTCCTCCTCCTCCTCCTCCTCGTCCTCCTCCTCCTGGTTTCCTCCCCTCCCCTCCTCCCCTCCTCTCCCTCCTACCTCCTCCTCCTCCTCGTCCTCGTCTCCTCCTCCTCCTCCTCCTCCTCCTCTCCCCTCCTCCTCCTCCTCCTCCTCCTCCTCCTCCTCCTCCTCCTCCCCCCTCCCCCCACTGGTACTTCCTCCCCCTCCACCTCCTCCTGCCTCCTCCTCTATCCTGGTCTTTTCCTCCTCCTCCTGATCGTCCTCCTCCTCCTGCTCGTCCTTCCTCCTTCTCCTGCTCTTCCTTCTTCTCCTGCTCCTCCTTGCTCCTCGTCCTGCTCCTGCTCGTCCTCGTCCTCCTGGTTTGCTCGTCCTCCTCCTCGTCGTGCTCTTGCCCCTGCTGAAATGTAGCCCCCGGGAATGGAGTTCTGGGAACTCGAAGAGCACGAAGTGGCCTACAGTTGGCTCCGGGCATTCAAAATGTGGCCCGGGAATGGAGTTCTGGAACTCGAAGAGCACGAAGTGGCCTACAGTTGGCTCCGGGCATCCAAAATGTGGCCCGGGAATGGAGTTTCGGGAAATGGAAGAGCACGAAGTGGCTTACAGTTGGCTCCGGGCATCCAAAATGTGGCCCGGGACTGGAGTTCTGGGAAATGGAAGAGCACGAAGTGGCCTACAGTTGGCTCCGGGCATCCAGAATGTGGCCCGGGAATGGCGTTCTGGGATGTCGAAGAGCACTTTGTGTGTGACTGTTGCATCCGGCCCCCCAGAATGTGGCCTGGGAATGGAGTTCTTGGAAGGCGAAGAGCACGAAGTGTGTGACTGTTGGTGAAAAACGAGCCCGGCTCATGCCGGACCGGCAACTCCCAACACCTGCCCGTACCCGGTACCCCCTGTGGAGTGATCTGCTGCTCTCTTTTTGACCCCACTAGAAACCCTATCAGTCTTCGGCTGTTTTAGGTAAATGATCCGGCAAAACAACCTAACAGCCATGTGTAGGAGCATATCTGGAAGCATTCCCCTTAAGATTCGGATGAGAATCCAGTTGTAGAATTCTGCTGTTCTCGCAGTCGTAGTCGCATTCGCGATGACAGTCGCAGTGGCTACGGCAGTCGCAGTCACAGCCTCAGCCTCAGCCTGCCTCAGCCTCAGCCTCAGCCTGCCTCAGCCTCAGCCTGCCTCAGCCTCATCCTCAGCCTGCTTCAGCCTCAGCATCAGTCTGCCTTCAGCCTCGGCCTCAGCCTCAGCCTGCCTCAGCCTCAGCCTGCATCAGCCTCAGCCTCAGCCTCAGCCTGCCTCCGCATCAGCCTGCCTCAGCCTCAGCCTCAGCCTGCCTCAGCCTCAGCCTCAGCCTGCTTCAGCCTCAGCCTCAGTCTGCCTTCAGCCTCGGCCTCAGCCTCAGCCTGCCTCAGCCTCAGCCTGCATCAGCCTCAGCCTCAGCACGAAGCGACCCAGCTAGAAGGACAAAGCGCTGAATGTACACCGATGTGTTCGACGACTGCGTATGTAATGATGTGACGATATACAGACTGAGCCCTTCGTGAATGTCTACATGTTTTTTCTGACGCCTACAAACGGCGCTGACGTGTGTGAGAAAATTGTCCGCGCAGCAAAAGCCGGCGAAGCGTGCGGGAGCTCGCATGCTGAGACAGACTACGTCTGCAGACCGCCAGCCGCAAAAAGTTGCGAGCGGCTCTTGGAAGATGTTTACGGAACGGAGCTACGGTGTCTGAAAACATTGGCATCGAAGGGAAGAGCCTCGGAGCCCTGCAACCTGAGAAACACCGCAGGAACTCGCATACTGAAAAGGAATGCATTGCAAACCGCACGCTGCGAACCCTGCAGGCTGAGAAGCACCGCAGAATGTCGCATGCTGAAAAGCACTTGTACTGCAGAGCGCTAGCATCTATCTCGGGCTCGGACCCCCCCGTCCTGATCCAGAACGTGTCCGGCCACGGCCTGAAAATGCCGTTCCTACTCCCGAGGATCAGC